TCCCGTGTGGTCAGAGGGAAATGCACCGTGGAGCCTGTCTGGCTCTGACTAGCTGGCTGCTGAACCCGGCCAAGGCGCTCAAGCTCCGCGTCTCCACTTCCTTACCTCTGCAGTGGGAACCGCAGGAAGACAACAGACCACTGTCTGCTGAGCCAGAGAGAGGACGAATGCATGTGGACCCGAAAGGCCCCAGCTCTACTCCTATGCAAATTACTAACTGCACTTAAAGAACAGCGGCGGGGCCAGCGCCCGGCTCACTAGGCTAATCCTCCGCCTGCAGCACTGGCACCCTGTGTTCTAGTCCCGGTTGGGGCGCCGGATTCTGTCCTGGTTGCCCCTCTTCCAGTCCAGCTCTCTGCTGTGGCCTGGGAGTGCAGTGGAGGATGGTCCAGGTCCTTGGGCCCTGCACAAGCACGGGAGACCAGGAGGAAGCACCTGCACCTGGCTCCTGGCTTCGGATCAGTGCAGCGCCGGACATGGCGGCCATTTGGGGAGTGAACCAATGGAAGGAAAACCTTTCTCTCTGTCTCTCTCTCTCACTGTCTAACTCTGCCTGTCAAAAAACAAAAAAAACAAAAAAAAAAAAAAACAAACAAAAAACAAAAAACAAAAGACAGTAGCAGGGCAACAAATGAATAACAAACATCTAACATGTCAAAAAGATGCACCAGTCATTAGAGACTAGGCCACCTTATTTTTACAGAACTTTATCATTTACAAACTATTTTTGTGGCCAGCGCCGCGGCTTACTAGGCTAATCCTCCGCCTTGCGGCGCTGGCACACCGGGTTCTAGTCCCGGTTGCCCCTCTTCCAGGCCAGCTCTCTGCTGTGGCCCGGGAGGGCAGTGGAGGATGGCCCAAGTGCTTGGGCCCTGCACCCCATGGGAGACCAGGAGAAGCACCTGGCTCCTGGCTTCGGATCAGTGCGGCCATTGGAGGGTGAACCAACGGCAAAGGAAGACCTTTCTCTCTGTCTCTCTCTCTCACTGTCCACTCTGCCTGTCAAAAAATAAAAAATAAAAATTAAAAATTAAAAAAAAAACTACTTTTGTACATAGAAACGAGTTGTCCTAGAGTCTGTAATGAAGCAACTCAACAACGACAATATTCATTTTGCTAAGTGTCTTCTTAATCATTTACAGTAAGTCACTACCTTGAAAACCTCGATAAAGGAAACTGCACCGCATCATTAACAAATCAAAGTAATTTTTAAAAATGCAAAGTTAATTTTTTAAAACATTGGCAATAAATACTAAAAAGCTATCCAAGTGACACATGAATGGTGGTGCCACAGAGAAACGGGGGAGTCGGACAAACCCCTTCTCCAGGGAGATCTTCCGCGCCTGCCCAAGGGCTTCCTCACGTGTGCGGAGGCAGCCTCCCACCATGAGTCCCAGCTCCAGTCTCTCTCCGGGCGTGCGGGCGTGGGTGGGATGAAGAGCCAATACCTGCTTCCCCGCAAGGCTGCTGCAGGGAGTCAGCGACAGGCTCTCGAGGGGCTCTAAATCCTACACGTGTACAGGCCAAAGGCTGCTGGCTACTTCACAAAAAGAGCCCTGCCCCCGAGGCCCTGCGCACCCCCCAAGCCCATCTCCTCTCTCCTGGCCCCCCCCCCCCCCGGAGCCCATCTCCTGGCTGGCGTCATCACCCCGTTAGAGGAAGGATGGTTACTGGGTAGAAGGGCAGAACCCCCTGGAAGGTCAGGATCCCGGCAGGATGTCTGAAGTGCAGATACTGGGCTGCACCTGGAAGGTGATCGGGATGACTTTGAGATGCGGATGCCGGACCTGGAAGTCAATACCCTAGGCCTTTGTCACACACACACAAGCTCATTTCTGACTTCCTACCTAGCACCCCCTGGAGCCCCTCTCCTGGCCCTGCCTCCTTGCTGCATCGGAACGTGTGGGGCTCCTGCTGTCAGCTGCTCCCCTGCCACCTGCCCCACTCACACCCGGACCATCCAGTCCCTACCCACGTCGCCTTCTCAGCAAGGCCAAGCTCGACCACAATTCTCCACAGCTGCCCATCACTCTCCATGCACCCAGGGTCTGACAGAGCGGGGGACGCCACGTGGCTGTGTGCTCTGATACTCCAGCACCTGGAACAGTGCTCGGCCCACAGCAGGCACTTGTCAATGAACACTTAGTATTCAAGGGATTCGCGTGAACTGAGGAAAGTGCAGCTGGAACACCCTCAGTCTTGTAGGGTGTGTTAGAGCTGAGGGAGATGGCTGACAGAGGAGCAAACACCTGGCTGGCACACGGTCACACACAGGAGGCCCGAAGGATGCAGGGGCCTCAGACCTCGGCCTCCAGGCTGCCAGCGCCACACGACACACAGTGCAGGCTTTCCAGGGGCCAGGTGTTCTACGTATCTGTTTAACTGAGATATTCCTAGAAACGTCAAGTGCAATGCACCAGTCCCACTAGTCCGATGCTAAATTGAACCATGGTTGTGGAAGGCAGACGCGGGCTACACCTGTCAGTCACTCAGGTGAGTGAGTGGCAGGGACTGAGCGAGTTCCAGCAGGCTGTCAGCAGCAGTGCCCCATCGTCACAGATTCTCTTCCCTCTTGCCCAGGGCCGCGAGTCCCCAAAGCCACGGGGGGGAGGCTGTGGTGACAGCAAGAACAAGGCTGGTGCAGAGGCTCCAGCAGGACCACACAGGCAAGAAGGTGGCTGCGGGTGGGGAGCAGTGAAAAGGTAGGCTGTGGGAGGCAGCAGAAGGCCTAGGGGGACTGCGCTGAGGAGCCCGAAGTTCACGGGAGACACAGTAACTTACTACTCAGGATTTCCCGACCAGAGAATTGCCTATTTAAATTGACATTGCAGCCGTCAAAGCTAACATAGAGGTAGGCGTTCACTGAAGTATGAACTCCCAGTTAAGGGAAAACTAGAAAGAAATAATGAAGGCACAACCCCAAGTAATTACGAAGGAGGCTGAGCCAGGTGTCTGAATTTAAACAATGACGCACCTTTTATCAGCTGTGTGATCTTGGGCCTTAGTAAGGACTAGAAGAGTTAATTCATGTAGAAGAACACAGAACACATACCAGAGACAGAATACAGTATCTACTAAAGAGCTCACTAAAAGTCAAAGCAGCTCCTTCTTAATGGCTTCTGAAACAAGACAAAAACAGAACATAAAAATAGGGTTGGTGGGGAGAGGTCAAGTTCAGAGGTTTTACGATGGTCTGCTAAGAGAAACTGAGGCTTAACCTTGAAAAACAGAGGACGCTGCCTAAGAGAGACGATTCCAACACCAGGGACAGCCTTGGAGGCTCTCCCTAGAGACACAGGCGGGAATGGTGCAATGAGCTCATTAACCCAACTTTCTCTCCAGTCTGGGCTGCCTACAGCGTGTGCGGGCTGCTACCCACCAGCTCCTGGGGCTCATCTGTGGTGCTGGACCGAGATGCCTACCAATTCCTCAGTGCCCAGCTCCAACCTCACCTGTCCCACAGAACTCTTTGCACAACCTTATTTGATGTCCAGCAGCTGCCCTGCCTCCAGACTGGGACATGGTACTTTCTTTGCAACCTGATTCCAAAATCCTCCAGGGTCTGGCCAGTCGGCCAAGTTTCTGAACCCACCACAAACTGCACAAACACAGATGCCAGGGGCTGCTTAGTGCCCAGCCTTGCTTCTGCAGCACTCCAGTCAGCAAGCTCAAGCCCTCAGAGGTTTTCTCCTGAGTAAGGAGCAGTGCCTGTGTAAGCCGGGACACTACGCCAGCACAGTGCGGCAGACACTTAGCACTGCAGAGCATCTGCCAGTGTACAAACGCAAGCGCAGGCTTTCCTTGAGGAAGGGCTTGTGGGGTGTTTGTGCACACAAAAAAAGTAGTATTTTTGTATTTTTGTGCTGGAACACTAAAAAGAATTCATAATCAACTAGGTAAATTCACAAAACTAAATTTCGGGGCCAGCGCCGTGGCACACTAGGCTAATCCTCCACCTGTGGCACCAGCATCCCATATAGGCACCGGGTTCTAGTCCCAGTTGCTCCTCTTCCAGTCCAGCTCTCTGCTGTGGCCCAGGAGGGCAGTGGAGGATGGCCCAAGTGCTTGGGCCCTGCACCCACATGGCAGACCAGGAGAAACACCTGGCCCCTGGCTTCCAATCAGCGAAGCGCGCTGGCCGTAGTGGACATTTGCGGGGTGAACCAATGGAAAGAAGACCTTTCTGTCTCTCTCACTGTCTAACTAAATTTCAGGAAAAGCTGATCTAAAGTAAATTAAATTAAACTAATGGTAATTGAATCTCTTCTAGGTCAGATACCAAAGTGATGAGGAAGCTGTTATTTCGGAATTAGAATGTATTGTATACATACATATCTAAGAACAGACCACGTGTGTGTATACAGACATGTGTATGGTACAGTCCATGTTGTCTCAAGATACCAACGAGGGGTCCATGGAAGATGCTTTCTTCTTCTTCTCCCTTTCCTGTATTTTCCACGTTTAAGTGGGAAACACATGGGCAAATGTATTTTTAAAAATACACCAGGGGTACACCACACTCATCACACCAGCAAATAGTTAAGATAATGCTCATGCTGGTATCTTAACTATATTTTTAAGAAAAATATTCAAACACCATCATATGCTTATTTTGAAAGACAAAAAACATCTTAAAATGTATCACATTTCCTAGACAACAAAAAATAAATATACAAACTATGTTAGGTTTTGATGAATTGCAAAGATAAAGTATAATGACAAGTTCAAAAATGAAAATTTTCACACTAAATATAATCAACAGGACATTAAAAAATAACCTGGGATTCGATATAACCTGGTGAATAATCTGCTATTTCACATATAGACTTAATCTTAAAAATAAACCCGAGTCATATTTAAAACCTAAATGCCAGCAAAATGACACAGACACGCTCCTTGCCGAAGCTACTGGAACGCAGCCAGCACGCGAGATCGCCGAGACAGCCGTGGTCTTGCCGCCCCGCGCAGCTCGTGCTGGGGGGTCTCGGCGAGCCCCTTACCTGACATGGAGACTGCGTGCGTCCTCACGCCTTGCTTCTCACTGTTGGCCAACCTGCAGAAGACAAGAGCACAGTGTGACCAAGCCGCCCGGCCTCGGCCACGGGGAGTGCATGTGGACTGGGGAACGATGCCACTTACCCAGGAGACGAATTTCAGATGGGTGATTTAAAAAAAAACCTGTACTTCACTACCTCAGGCACTGATGACCAGACTGCCTTAACGCTTCAGAGACCAGAAATCACGAGGTAACCGAAGGAATGTTGAACTTCTCTGGGAACTTACTAGTAACAGTGAATTACAACAACGCAGCATCATTTAATGTGGTGCACGTGGGCTACATAAAAATTTAAATTTGAAAGCTGGACTGCAAGGGACTGCCCAGACATCTAGAATTGAGATTTTTCTAAAACAGAATCTGAAATACTATTGTATCATCTTCCTTAAATTTACAGTAAAGAGAAAATGCAAAAAAAAAAAAATGAAGTACACTAATATATATTATTATTTACAGGCTAAACAAGAACTTAATGTATCTGGCTAATTGTTTCATGAAATGACTCAAAAACTAGTGTTCTACAAATTTATCCACATAAAATAAAAATCTGGTGAATGTTTTTGTTGTCATTTAAAAAATGCAAATATAGTTTAATTTAAAACATCAGGAAAAGCACAAAACACACAGAGAAAAAAAGAATCCCGAAGTCTACAGTTGAAGTGACCTTGACCTTTTATAAAAGAAAACTTCCCCCGAAAGAGCTGCATTTTCTATTGACGTAATGAACAGAAAAATTTCCATAACAGGAGGAAAACCGGGATAGACTTCAGGAGAGGGAACATCAGAACTCACAATGGCCTATCAGTTTTGAGAACCAGGAACACTCACTACACAACTGTACAACCTCCACAATAATCAGAGCTTGACAAGCCATAGAACTGAGTTTCCATTCCTGAATTCTCCGAATATCTGAAATCTTTTCTACCACAAAAATTTATCCCAAGTTGCTCTCTAGAAACTCAGCAGCTTCTCCTCGCTGCAGCCTCTGACCCCGATCCCTGCACACTGCATCCCGGGCTTTCCCAGGGCACCGCATGTTCTAACCACAGATGAACTCCCGTGCACCCTGGTCCTGCGGCCAGGCCCCGGCCACATCACACTGATGATGCTGTGCCACCAGCTCTCTCATCACAGCTTAGCTTTCACCACTGCCTGGCCCAGCAGCACAGTGCTCTTTAAGTACTCAAAACGAGCGTTAGTTCCTGGCCTGGGCGGGCATTAGCCAGCACCTAGCACGCACTGCTCACTCAGCCAGACACACTGAGCAGAGCCAGGAGGAGCTGCCGGGCCATCCTCCCCTCATCCACACAGTTACTGCACAAGTGGGCACAGACCCTGGCTGCTGGCAGGTGGGCAACTCCACCAGCCTCTGAGCACCAGTGGAGGGCGCGAGGGTGCCGGCAGCGAAGAAGGCACAGAGGGCGACAAGTCCTACCACAGGAGAGCGCAACACGCCACTCGCCTGGTTGGGAAGGAGGAACTGCAGGAGGCTTCCGGAGGAAACCTGGAAGCTGAGCGAGGCTCAGGCAACAAGGGGGCTGCAGAGGACGCACACTGATGAAGCCCCCAGGGAAACAGTCGGGCAGCTCCTAGCCAAGCTGGGATAACAGAATTTATCCTAATAGCAACAGCAAGTCACGCAAGAGTTTGAATTCAGAAAGGTCCCTCACGCCGTAGTGTAGACACTGAGGGGCAGTAGGGGTAGCATCGTGGTCAGCCGGTAAAGCTGCCACCTGCAATACTGTGGATTCAAGTTCAAGTCCCGGCTGCTCCAATTCCCATCCAGCTCCCTGCTAATGCACCTGGGAAAGCAGCAGAACAAGGCCCAAGTCCTTGGACTTCCACACTCATGTGGGAGACCCAGAACAAGTTCCTGGCTCCAGTTTGGCTCAGCCCTGGCTGTAGTGGCCATTTAGAGAGAACCAGCAGGTGGAAGCTCTCTCTCCGTCTGTCTGTAACTCTGTATCTGTAGAACTCTGCCTTTCAAATGAACAAAATCAATCTTAACCAAAAAAAAAAAAAAAAAAAAAAAAAAGGAAAGGAAAGAAGGAAAGGGGGGAGAGGAGAAGGGCGTGGGAGCACGAGGGGTACCACTGGACAGAAGGCACGGGTGTGCCTGTCCAAAGGCTGCTGTCTGAGCACTGGCTTTCAGGAGTTCCCCCACTGCCTAATTAGGAGGCTGGCTCACCACGCCCCAACCATAAACACTGCATGACTTCTGCCGAGTTCTGGATCTCCTCCAGGAGTCTGGAATTTTAGTACACTCGACACAGACAGTGAGTGCGTGGCCAGGCCCAGTGGACTCCAGGCAGAGTCCTTGGTAGTCAGCATCTCAGACATGTGGCCCAGCTCAGTCCTGGGGAGTTAAGCACATCCATGGGACTACGGGGAGAGGGTCTCCGGAAGCTCACTCATCACCTCTAGACGCCACCCTACGTGCCGTTCCTGTCACTGAATCTGCCTTGTGTCTCCTACTTGGGAGTCAGCAGAGAGAACTGCCGAGCTGGGAGCAGTCTTGGGAACCCCTGCAGAGAAGTCCCCAGGAGCAGCCCAGAGAGGTGACAACATGGCTAAAAAGGGTGGTGGGGGAGCCCGTGGGGATGGGGAGAAGTAGCTGAACATGACATATTCAGGAAGCAGAACTGGCGGAACCAGCGGTGGACCGGCCAGAGAGGAGGACAGGGACAAGGCGAAGGCGAGGCCCAGCTGCCCTGCTTCTCCCTAGTGCTCGCGGCTATCTGCTCCTCTCCGAGCGCCAGCAGCCCTGTGAGCACGTCCCATGCAGCCGTCTATTTACCTGGTAAGTGAACATTTACATTTTATCTTCCAGATCCTGGTACCCAGTTCCAGGCACACTGCAAGTAATTACCTAAGTTCTTCTGGCATTACTATTTGATTCCTTTAATAGTATTTAACAATACATCTGTAAAATTTGTGACATAGGGGCCAGCACCGCGGCTCACTAGGCTAATCCTCCACCTGCAGCGCCAGCACCCCGAGTTCTAGTCCTGGTTGGGGCACCGGATTCTGTCCCGGTCGCTCTCTTCCAGTCCAGCTCTCTGTTGTGGCCCGGGAAGGCAGTAGAGGATGGCCCAAATGCTCGGGCCCTGCACCCACATGGGAGACCAGGAGGAAGCACCTGGCTCCTGGCTTCAGATTGGCACAGCGCCAGCCGTAGCGGCCCTTTCGGGGGTGAACCAATGAAAGGAAGACCTTTCTCTCTGTCTCTAACTCTGTCAAAAAAAAAAAAAAAAAAAATTGTGACGTAGTAAAAAATGAAACCGTTAACACAATTACTTCTACAATTTTGTTAAGATAGCCAGAATAGAGTTGACCATGAGGTTCTAATGAAGGTGGGAAATATATATATAGCAATATTTCAAAACAGGTCCTCTACGGTGCTGTGGTGTAGCGGATTAATGCCCTGGCCTGAAGCACTGGCTTCCCATATGGGTTCAAGACCCAGCCACTCCACTTCCAATCCAGCTCTCTGCTGTGGCCTGTGGAAGATGGCTCAAGTCCTTGGGCCCCTGCACCCACGTGGGAAGACCTGGAGGAGGCTCCTGGCTCCGGATCAGCGCAGCTCCGGCTGTTGCGGTCATCTGAGGAGTGAACCACCAGATGGAAGACCTCTTTCTCTCTGCCTCTCCTCTCTCTGTGTAACTCTGACTTTCAAATAAATAAATCTTAAAAAAAAAAAAGCCCTCTAAATTATTGTCATTGAGATTTTCTGTATTGAACAAAGGGAAAACTAATTTCTAACTTTTCAAATTAACTTAAATACCTAATATTTTACATTTGAAGTGTTTTTTCCAGTTCATTGATATTCACAGAAGTTTAACTTTTCAGGAAAATGAATAATAAAAGCATAATGATTTTCTTAAAGTTCTAATACAATAAAATAACAATACGCACAAAACAGCACTTACTTTGGTATTGATGGCAAAGCTCGTTCACCTTCTGGGGGAAAAGAAGGAAAAAGAGAATGATTTTCCTTTTCATGGTTTTGTAAAGATCATACACAGTAATCAGGGGAAAAGGGTAAGCTCTATCCTGATTTTTAGCAATAGCCCATTAGAGTCACACTATAGGTTTTCATGGTTTTATTTTCAGTATTTATAACATACACAAAAGAACTGTTAAGTGAACAGCATTTGAAAGATACTACCTAAAGTGCAAGACTTCCTGTCCCAGGAGACTAAAGTCTGGGGGATTTTTTATGATCAAAGTAAGCATTCCTTGTCAAAGAAATGAACCTTCTACAAACCGAGAAGATTGCAAATAATGTGATATCAACACAAGTGTCATAAGACAGTAAGCTACTGTGAAGTAATAGCAAAGTTTTGAGAAAGATTGCTATTGGAAACAGCACCATTTAAAAACAAAATAATTATCAGTCGGACTTGCCCCAAATGGTGGAGTTAGAAACGTGCCAGGGGATTCCAATACAATCCCATCAAGGTGGCATGTACCAATGCCATCTCACTAGTCCCAGTGATCAATTTCAGTTCACAATTGATCACATTGGGCCGGCGCCGCGGCTCACTAGGCTAATCCTCCGCCTAGCGGCGCCGGCACACCGGGTTCTAGTCCCGGTAGGGGCGCCGGATTCTGTCCCGGTTGCCCCTCTTCCAGGCCAGCCCTCTGCTGTGGCCAGGGAGTGCAGTGGAGGATGGCCCAGGTGCTTGGGCCCTGCACCCCATGGGAGACCAGGAAAAGCACCTGGCTCCTGGCTCCTGCCATCGGATCAGCGCGGTGCGCCGGCCGCAGCGCGCCAACCGCGGCGGCCATTGGAGGGTGAACCAACGGCAAAAGGAAGACCTTTCTCTCTGTCTCTCTCTCTCACTGTCCACTCTGCCTGTCAAAAAAAAAAAAAAAAAAAAAAAAAAAAAAAAAAAAACACAATTGATCACACTGATAGGTCTAAGAGTCAAAGGGATCACACAAACAAGACTAGTGTCTGCTAATACTAACTGACAGAATCAAAAAGGGAGGGAACAATCCAACATGGGAAGCGGGATACACAGCAGACTCATAGAATAGCAGATGTCCTAAATAGCACTCTGGCCTCAGAATCAGCCCTTAAGGCACTCGGATCTGGCTGAAGAGCCCATGAGAGTATTTCAGGCATGGAAAGCCAAGACACTCTGGGGAAAAAAAAAAAAAAAAAAAAAAAAAAAAAAAAAACACCTAAATGAAAGATCTCTGCGAGTGAGATCCCAGTGGAAAGAATGGGGCCATCAAAGAAGGAGGTACCTTTCTCTGAAAGGAGGAGTGAACTTCCATTTTGACTATGACCCTGTCAAAATAAGATCGAAGTCGGCGAACTCAAAAGGCTTCCATAGCCTTGACAACTCATGACTAGAGCCTAGGGAGATTACTGACATCATAAACAAGAGTGTCAAATTGTTAAGTCAACAACAAGAGTCACTGTGTACTTACTCCTCATGTGGGATCTGTCCTTAGTGTGTTGTCCAATGTGAAGTAGTGCTATAACTAGTACTGAAACAGTATTTTACACTTTATGTTCTGTGTGGGTGCAAACTGATGACATCTTTACTTAATATACACTAAATCTATCTTCTGTATATAAAGATGATTGAAAATGAATCTTGATGTGAATGGAATGGGAGAGGGAGCGGGAGATTGAAGGGGTGCGGGTGGGAGGGAAATTATGGAGGGGGGGCATTGTAATCCATAAACTGTACTTTGGAAATTTATATTTACTAAATAATAAAAAAAATTAAGTATCTATTAACTACAATGCTGTCAACCAGGAGTGAATTTTAGTTTTTTCCTTTGGAATGATTTTTTTAAAACATTTACTTTACCTGTATGAAAGGCAGAATTAGAGAGAGAGGGAGATTTTTCATCCACTGAATTACTCCCCAAATGGCTGCAACATCTGAGCTAAGCCAGGCCAAACACCAGGAGCCTGGAACTCCATCTGGGTCTCCCACATGCGTGCTGCAGCCCAGGCACTGGGCCACCTTCACTGCCTTCCCCGACAGTAATGGCCCACGCACTGGGCCATCCTCGCTGCCTTCCCCGACAGTGATGGCCCAGGCACTGGCCATCCTCGCTGCCTTCCCCGACAGTGATGGCCCACGCACTGGCCATCCTCGCTGCCTTCCCCGACAGTGATGGCCCACGCACTGGCCATCCTCGCTGCCTTCCCCGCACAGCAACAGAGAGCTGTATGAGAAGCGCTGCAGCACTCACGTAATGCCAGTGTTGTAGGAGGACAGCTTAAACGGCGATGACACAAAGCTACCAGGAATTTTTTTAAATTTTATTTAAAAAGAAAAGAGAAGCATGGGACAGAGAACTGTCCATCCACTGGTTCATTCGTTCAATGCCCGAACTTCACTTGGGAGTCGCAAGTGGGAGGCAGGGACCCAGGGACTTCAGCCATCACCTGTTGTACATCAGCAAGGAAGCAGGGCAGGGCCCCACACACGAGCGCTGCAATACAGAGTGTGGATGCCCCAAACGGCAACTCAGCCTCGCACTCCTGGAACGGACTAGCACCCTCACACTTACCACACCGCTAAATAACAACTCAGCCTCTCACTCCTGGAACGGACTAGCACCCTCACATTTACCACAGTGCTAAATAACAACATTGGGCTTCGCAAGTCATTCACGTGGCACTCTTCTGAATAATTTTTTTAAAAGGATCTATTTCTTTATTGGAAAGCTGGAGTTCCAGAAGACAGAGGGAAAGAGAGAGACAGACAGAGAGAGAGCAAGGGAGGGAGGGAGGAGGGAGAGAGGGATCCTCCATCTGCTATTTCACTTCCCAGATGGCCACAACGGCCAGGGCTGGCCAGCCCAAATTCAGGAGCCAGGAGCTTCCTCTAGGTCTCCCACATGGATGGGAGGGACCCAAGGACTTGGGCCAATTTCTGCTGCTTTTCTCAAGCCATTATCAGGGATCTGGACCAAAAGAGAAACAGCCAGGACACAAACCGGCGCACACATGGGGTGCTAGTGTCTCAGGAAGCAGCTTTTACCTGCTGTGCCAAACGGCTGGGCCCCACCCAAATACAGTCTATTAAGAAGGATTACCTTTTATATTTGAAGTGTTTGATTTTTTTGGAATTAAGATTTTTAATTGTAATTTCAGATAACTGTTTTTCTCTACTGGTTTTCAATTATACAATTGACATAACTTGTAAGAAATCTAAATGACAGGGACTGGTGTTGTGAAGCGGCGGGCAGCGCTGCCTCCTGCCACACTGGAATCGCTTCTGCGTGCAGGTCCGAGTCCTGGCTGCTTCACGTGCGACCCAGCTCCCCGCGGATACACCTGCAGGGGCAGCAGAAGACGGCCCAAGTACCTGGGACTCTGCCACCTACACGAGACCTGGACAGAGTTCCTGGATGTGAACTGGGCCTGGCCCAGTCTGACTGTAATAGCCATTTGGGAAGTGAACCAGCAGATGAAAGACCTCCCTCCATCTATCGCTTCCTTTCTCTCTGAAACTCTGCCTTTCAGATAAATCAATAAATTTAGGGAGAAACAAAAAAGCACTATCCACAGCTGCTGATTTAAAAAAGGAAGAAGTACATGAAGGGACACAACGCGGAAGAACAGTCGCGGGCTCCCAGCACGTCAAACACAGTTCCGTTCTCACCAGAGTACTCAGACTCCACAGTTGGGAACTTCATCTTCCAGTTTTTTTTTTAATGCTTATAAACACATACACAACACACATGTCTTTGGGTATACACAGACACACATGTAGGATTTAACAAATAGTAACAATAATAAAGCTATCACCTCTCTTTTGGTACTGAATACTTTTATTAAAAAAAAAGATGTATATGAAAGACTGAGTGACAGAGACCACCTGCTGGTTCACTCCACGAACGCCCACAAACACCAGGTTTGGGCGAGCCAGGAATTCTACCGGGTCTCCAGCACCTCTGGTTCCCGGTGCCTCCGCAGCAAGTCGAGAGGGCATGCGGGGTGGCTCTGTGCTGCAGCAGGGTGAAGCCACTGCTTCCAACACACACACCCTACGTGCAGCGTCAGCTCACATTCCAGCTACTCTAACATACGGCTCCAGCTCCCTGCTAACATGACTGGGGAAGCAGCAGAAAATGGACAAGTGCTTGGGCCCCTGGAGCCATCAAGTGAGCCAAGTTCCTGCCTCGTGGTGGCGGCATACATATGAGAAGTGAGCCAGCAGACGGGAGATGTCTCTCTCTCTCGCTCCATCCCTCCCCTTTTCTCTTTGTAGTTCTGCCTTTCAAATGAATAAGCAAATAAATACATATATTAATAAAAGAAAAGCAGCAGAGTAGCCAGGACTAGAACCAGTACCTCATTATGGGATGTAGGCCTCCAAAGGGGTGGCTTCACCCAAGCGCCAAATGTCCGCATCTGTTGTCTTACCTCACCACTCCATCACTGGGGCACATGCCCTCATTTATTTACTCATCCCATCTTCTAGCCTTTTGCTTTTGTAAATCATGTTACCAGTGAATGTTCCTGTGCCAGCGAGTGCCAGGACACGTGCTAAACACCCATCTGAACACGCTGAACCCACTCACACGGACATGGTGTGAGAGCACATTTTCTAACAGCCTTGCCAAGAGTGGTTTTAACCAGTTGTTTGATCAATCCAGGAAGTATAAAATATTATTGCTTCTGTGTCCACGGGTTTCCTGGATGTCCATTCTTCTATCAGCCGCTCTTTTTCTATACTGAGTTGTTTTATTCAGTGAGCTGACAGCACCCTTGAAAAATAAGATGTAAATTCTTCACTGTGTCAAATATTTTCCTCTCTCTGCTACAGCTTTAAAAATGTGCTTTAACTAGGTGTTTTGTTTTTTTTTTAAAGATTTATTTATTTATTTGAAAGTCAGAGTTACACAGAGAGAGAAGGAGAGGCAGAGAGAAAAAGAGGTCTTCACTCCCCAATTGGCTGCAACGGCCAGAGCTGTGCCAATCTGAAGCCAGGAGCCAGGAGCTTTTTCCGGGTCTCCCACTGGCAGTGCAGGAGCCCAAGGACTTGGACCACCTTCTACTGCTTTCCCAGGCCATAGCAGAGAGCTGGATGGGAAGCAGAGCAGCCGGGACTAGAACCAGCACCCATATGGGATGCCTGCGCTTCAGGCCAGGGCGTTAACCTGCTGCGCCACAGCGTCAGCCCCACTAAGTGTTATAATAAACGTGAATCCCGCCACTGTTGTTCTTATACTTTATGGGTTTTATGTCATGCTAGAAAATCTCTTCTCACAGTGAACAGTTTGCCTCCATTTTATCTACAGAAAACCTATGTAAGAAAGATGAAACTGTGACTCTATATTAAATTGAAAAAAATCTGTCCTCTAAGGATTTTACTGAAGAATTATTAAAATTTCATTGATTCTAAACACTTTTTGCAGGTAAGGGACAAGTTACTTAATATCCTATAATCAGGTCATGTGTTGATTCTCAAGAATATCAGCCCAGAACACTTGGCTTGCAGTTCTTATTTTAAAATTATCTTTATTTATTTTTTTTAAAAAGGATTTATTTACAGACAGAAAGGTCTTCCATCTGCTGGTTCACTCCCCAATGGCTGTAATGGCCAGAGTTTGGCCAATTCAAAGCCAGGAGTCAGGAGCAGGAGCTTCTTCCGGGTCTCCCACATGGGTGCAGGGACCCAAGCACTTGGCCCATCCTGCACTGCTTTCTAAGGTCTTTAGCAGGGAGCTGGATGGAAGTGGAGCAGCCAGGACTTGAACCTGTGTCTGTATGGAATGCTGGCGCTGCAGGTGTAGGCTTAACCTACTGCGCAACAGGACAGACCTCGGTTCTGATTATATTTTCCCCCAGTCAATATCCTCTTTAAAAGGACTTTACACCTCCACAGTAATTTTGGGAAATCAAAGACTAGCAAGGTGCATCTAGGTATGTCCATAGCTCACTTGCAGCACACAAAGCACTATTACCAATGTGCCCTGTTCTGTGTGCACACACATGCTGCCCACCATTGGGGAAACTCTATATACTCTAGACAAGAAACACGGACACATATATAACTGTTATTTAATGCACATTAACAGGAAAGTAATACAAATAATTTGCAGAAAATTTTAAAATTTTTCTATTTTAAAACATACACATGGGGCCGGCACCGCAGCTCACTTGGATAATCCTCCACCTGCGGTGCGGGCACCCGAGTTTCTAGTCCCAGTTGGGGAGCCGAATTCTGTCCCAGTTGCTCCTCTTCCAGGCCAGCTCTCTGCTGTGGCCTGGGAAGGCAGTGGAGGATGGCCCAAGTGTTTGGGCCCTGCACCCGCATGGGAGACCAGGAGGAAGCACCTGGCTCCTGGCTTCAGTGCACCAGCCGCAGTGCGCCAGCCACAGCAGCCATTTGGGGGATGAACCAACGGAAGGAAGACCTTTCTCTCTCTTTCTCTCTCTCTCTCACTGTCTAACTCTGCCTGTCAAAAAAAAAAAAAAAAAAAAAAAAAAAAATGCACACAGGGCTGGCACTGTGGCGTAGTAGGCTAAGCTTCCACCTGCGGCACCGGAATCCCATATGGGCACAGGTTCAATTCGCGGCTATTCCTCTTCCGATCCAGCTCTCTGCTATGGCCTGGGAAAGCAGTGGAAGATGGCCTAAGTACTTGGGCCCCTGCACCTGCATGGGAGACCCAGAATAAGCTCCTGGCTCCTGGCTTTATATCAGCCCAGCTCCGGCCATTGATGCCATTTGGGGAGTGAACCAGCAGATGGGAGACTCTTCTCCCTCTCTGTAACTCTACCTCTTAAATAAAATAAATAAATCTTAAGGAAAAAAAAGGACATATATTCTCTTATGCACATTTAGGAGGGTGCTTCAGAACCTCATGGGAAAAATACATTATCTTTTCATTTAATTATTCATAAACTTTTTGAAGCCCTCTCCTATTTCTAACTATAAGCTATTGTCTATGTTAATTCAACCATACAATATATCTCTACCTCAGGGATCTATGAAATATAGTTACATAGTACATAAATATTATATAATCATATAATAATATTATATTAAGCAAATTATCATTATATTAAAACAATTATTCATTATATTAAAACAATATGAGGGGGTTGGCAGTGTGGCCACCAGGGGACTGACCGAGCGAATGGAACATCCTTCTTTGACTCTCCCTCTAACTCTTTGAAATAAATAAATAGTTTTTAAAAAGACACAATGTGGGGACCAGCGCCGTGGCTCACTTGGTTAATGCTCCACCTGCGGTGCCGGCATCCCATGTGAGCACTGGGTTCTAGTCCCAGCTGCTCCTCTTCCAGTCCAGCTCTCTGATGTGGCCTGGGAGGGCAGTGGAGGATGGCCCAAGTGCTTGGGCCCTGCACCCTCATGGGAGACCAGGAAGCAGCACCTGGCTCCTGGCTTCGGACTGGTGCAGCGCCAGCTGTAGCAGCCTTTTGTGGGGTGTGAACCAATGGAAGGAAGACCTTCTCTCTCTGTCTCTCTCTCTTTCTCATTGTCTATCTGTCAAATAAAAAAAAAAAAAAGAGAGAGAGAGAGAGACAATGTGAAATCGGTAACAATCAATGTCCTACCTTGCTTCTTACAATGAGCACTTTCATATGAAGAAAGAACGTAAAAGCATTTCAGTTCATGATTTGGTATCGGAATATTCTTGCGAGGGAGCAAGCAGAGCTAACAGTAACGTCCGCAGAGGGAGATGCTGGAGTTTTACACGCAGAATGGTTCACTTAGTGCCTAATGTCAGTGTGCACTAACATACCAACAAAGGACATTCTGGAACATCAGGATGGAATTTGGAAGTTTACTTACAAATCAATGTTACAATTCATGCTTTCCCTGAAGTACTATGTTTGTGTGAAGGAATTCTCCCCCAAATTATTCACACGGCATCTGTGAGGAGTGTATACTACTGTGTACAGCACAAAGCGAGAGGAAAGTGCTGTGGCAGAGTAGGGGGGCCTCCGCCTGTGGCACCAGCATCCATGTGGGCACCAGTTTGATTCCCGTGCTCCACTGCTAATCCAATTCCTTGCCAATGGCCTGGGAGAGCAGTGGAAGGTGGCCCAAGTGCTTGGGCCCCTGCACCAGCATGGGAGACCTGGAGGGAAGATCCTGGCTCCAGATTGGCCCAGCTCTAGCCACGATAGCCATTTGGGGAGTGAACCAGCGGATGGAAGACCTCTTCATCTGTGCTTCTTTCTTTCTCTTAACTCTACTTCTCAAATAAATAAATAAATCTTTAAAAAAAAAAACACACACACAAAGCAAAAAATGAAGCGCACGGGGCTGGCAAAGGTTCTAACTGACAGCATCTTCAGATTTCTGAAAGTATCTTCATTACCAGGTTTCACAGCAAGAAAAGTTCAGTAAGTATAAACTGTATTTCAAAAAAACAAAAACAAAAAAACAAAAAAACAGATACAGGCTTTACTCGTGTAATCAATGTCAGAAAACACTTTTGCTAGAAAAGCCGTGTCCTGGAATCACAGAGATTTTGTTTACTTAGTAGACTTCTGGACTGTGGCTTCAGCTACTGATCCCAGAGCCAAACACCATCAGCACCTTTTATACGGGTCCAAGGACTCCTCCGCTGACACACAGGCTGCTTCCCCAGCAGGTGAGCGGGCTCCCTGGGCTCCAGGGGACCGTCACTGGCCCCCTACTCTCTTCCCGAGTGCACTCGGCTCTGCTCACTGGGACACCACACAGCACTTGGGGAGTCTACTTCACAACACCCAGTCCCCGATGTTGAGTGCTGGAGGGGTGTAGTAATAAGGACAAATTCCACGTACAGAGGCCACCTCCTGCAGGGCAAAATGCTGCTACAACTAAACCCTAACAGGCAACGTCAGTGCTAGCAGCACGCCGAGATCACACCATGACGCGTGGCGTGCCAGGCCGAACAACAGAGCAAGTCAGCTTTCTGCCAACGCTGCGGCAGCAGGGCCCGCTCCGCTCGCAGCACAAACCAGCGCAGGATTCTGCACAGGAGGACACCAAGGGCCCAGCCCTGGGCCTCTGAGTGGATGCAGTGCCAAAGCTCAGGCGTCCCCTGCTTCCCGCCGTGCTACCACCCTCTGGAGCACTTTCACTTCGTCACTTCAGAAATCCAAACCTGCTGCAGCAGCCCTTGTCAAACACTCGCAAGAAATCCATTGTTGCTGCACAACGCCAGCCTGTTGCTTCTTAGATACTTAACCATGCTAATGCCGATTATACACCAGGATTTCGAATTTATTTTGCTCTTCTACTGCCTTAAGCATTTGGGACATACAAGAAAAAATACAAAACAGACTACGCACAATGTGAATTACAAGGTACACTTTTTAAAAAAATCCAGAATATAATTCTCGAAGTTTATTTAAAAATACTGGTGATAACCGAGAATCTGCTCTAAGTAGTTCAACAGCCAGCACTGTGGGCAGGACAATGCTTTCTGTACTCTCCCTTCGAGTCCAGCCTTGGTCCATGGCAAATGCAAGCTGGACCACGGCCCCAGAGAACCACTGGGCTGAGTTCTCACCCGGCCCTCACGTCTGCAGTCACCTAGAGGCAGGCTGAGCAGCTGTGGCGAGCGAGTTTGTCCAGCAGTTAGTAATAACGCACTGGGGACATGCAACCGCAGAGGGGCTCACCTTTCTGGGGTCTGATGATAAAGGACTGTGTGGCCCCGTTCACCAGCCGGCAGTATCCATCTATCAGGTCAGCCATATTCTCTGCGATGGTTAGGGAGGGTGCCGTCACTGTGAGAGGCTAACCAGGGGGAGAAACCAAGAAAGAGACATTATTGTTCTTGCCCGTAATCAAAGGGACAGCTGCACTGTGACATCAGACCTCTACATATACTTGAAAACAGCCCAGAGTGGGAGTGAAAAGAGATCTGTCATGAGAGATCTGAGTGAAAACGGAAGCTTGATATTTAAGGACATTACTCCTAGAATACTTCACAGAGGCAGACTCAATGGAGGCTGATTTCTAGAATCTCCTTCAAAATGTCTAGCCCCTGTGGCACTCTAAGGGATGAATTCAGATAATCAGAACGTTAAATTTTGACTTATTTTTGAAATTAAGAGTAGTAAATTTTCAATCTGTAATTTTTTTCTTTTTCTTTTTTTTTTTTTGACAGGCAGAGTTAGACAGAGAGAGAGAGGGAGAGAGAGAGAGAGAGAGGTCTTCCTTCCATTGGTTCACCCCCGAAATGGCCGCTACAGCCAGCACGCTGCACTGATCCGAAGCCAGGAGCCAGGTGCTTCTCCTGGTCTCCTATGGGGTGCAGGGCCCAAGCACTTGGGCCATCCTCCACTGCCCTCCCGGGCCACAGCAGAGAGGTGGATTGGAAGAGGAGCAACTGGGACAGAACTGGCGCCCCAACCGGGACTAGAACCCGGTGTGCCGGCGCCACAGGCAGAGGATTAGCCTAGTGAGCCGTGGCGCCAGCCTGTAATTTTTCTAACATAAAAAAATTACTGAAATTTCACTAATTTTAGGACATATAGAATGTTCTGCCCAAGGCTTGAGAAAAATCACTCTTTTCAACATAAATATGTCCAATTTTGATAAACTTCCTAAAGGCCTATCTCTGGTATTGTTCAGAAAATAATAAAAGCTGTACTTTATTTTCAAGTACAAGAATGTCTTAGTTATTCATGTTCTCCTTCTAAATGAAGTCTTTTTCTAACCTGCGTTATCCTAAGTGGTATTTCCGGGATAACGGAAGGAAAAGATGGAGAAGACGGCACAGCATCCTTACTGAGAACTCCGGGAAGTCTCCATCTGCAGCAAGCGCTCAGCACTGCACGGTAATGTCTGCTTCCCCCCCACAGTCAGTGGACTGTGTGGCCTCACGGAGCCTCAGGGAACAGGGGGAAGCATCTGCCCGAGTCGGGAGTACTGCAGACCCACCCACCGGGGCAGTGGTTGCGACGGACAAGGAACCCCAGACAGCGTGCATCTCACACAGGCACAACCGCGACGCCACCGACCGCTCGGGTTTCTCTGTGCAACTGAGCTCCACAGAGAGGGCCACCTTACACCTGTCTGCCTCGTGGTCACTCTCACGCCACTTCTCTTCTTCCTGTGCTGGGGCAGGCTGAGGAGCACACGCTGTGGGTTCAGGCTATTGTAAGAGCGAGCCCCATTTTTGCCAAAAACTGTGACCTCGGCCAACAAACCCATCCCTCAGGTCCCTTCCCACAGAACGTGGCTGGCTGCAGCACATCCCAGTGCCTACCTTGTTTGTTGACAATGGCACAGGACCCTTACGGAGGAGGAGGGGCTGTCTTACTACGAGTGCTACAGCTCCGGGGACGGCACCCACACGCACGGTCGGGGAAATGACGCGGCGCAGAGGACACAGACGCGCTTGCAAGACGCTGACTTCCTTGACCCTTCACGGCAATCCCCGATTATCTTCATAAGAAGGCTTCTGGTAATGTTTACGTCTGTCTCCTGCCTTCCTCCCAGGCCATTCAGCCATGACTATGTGTACTGGAACCTCATGATTCCCATGACCCATCAACACTTCTCCCTCTTCCTAAAGAGAACTGCGAGTTCTGACACACCACCACGACTCCGTGTCCTGCTCGCAGGCTCTCAGGGCCCTCACCTCGGGTGCGCCGGCTATTTTGAGCTGCAGCATTCCTTTTCTGTCCTTGTCCTCGCTGTTTGAATACTGAATGGTCTGCACTTGATTGAAGTCAGCCAGATGTGTGGGCTTTGGAAAGACAAGGTCAAATCGTTAGACTCCGGCCAAGAGACCCACTTCATGGATTCTGTTAACTGTTCTAGGAAATTCTCACCAATCCCACCCCCAACCCATTCTCTTGCAGAGACCCTCCCTAAGACTAAAGCCTGGGGGAGAAAACCATTGTTAAAGTAGGCCCCACCAGAGCAGCCCCGTGACCCTCTCCTGGGACGCCTGCCCCTCCCCCCCCGCCCCGCCGCCCGAAGATGAGACGGTCACCAGAGAGACCAGAAGGCCAGGAAGGAGGGAGGCAGAAGGCTCCTCTGACTCGGCTGCCGTGCCAGCCTGGGAGGGACCTTACGGGATCTCGGTGGGAGTGACTCTGTGCTGCTACAAGGGTACATCCAAATGCTTGTGGAAAAAATAGAATTAAAAGATAAGCTTCTTCTGGCACAAATTTCTTGAAATGCATAGTTTTTTAACAACATACATTTCCAGGAAGTTTCTAAAGATCTGATATACGTGATTTTTCTTTTATTAGATTTCTTTTTTTAGATGTATTTATTTATTTGAAAGGCCGAGTGAGAGAGACAGGGAGAGTTAGAGGGAGAGTTCTCGCACTCCCTGGTTCACTCCCCAAATGGCTGCAATGCCGGAACAAGGCTGATCGGAAGCCAGGAGCTACTTCCGGTCTCCCACTTGGGTGCATTTTCTACTGCCTTCCCAGGTGCATTAGCAGGGAGCTGGACAGGAACTGGAGCAGCTGGGACTCAAAATGGCGCCTACATGGGATGCCAGCACTGCAGACGATGACTTAATCTCCTAAGCCACAGCACTGGTCCTTGATATACATGACTTTCAAAAGTTTTGTAACACGTTATTTATTTGAGAAGCAGAGACACACAGAGGGAATGCACGCACGAGTGCACACACAGCTCCACCTGACTCCACGTTGCTGGTTTCTCCCCCAAATGCTTCAACAGCCACAGCTGGGTCAGAATCAAAGCCAGGAGCTGGGAACTCAATCCAGGCCTCCCAAAGCGGATGGCAGGAACCCAGTGACCTGAGGTGCCACCACTGCCTCTCAGGGTCTGCGCTGGCTGAGAGCAGGTGTCACGAGCCGGAGCCGGAGCCAGTCTAAGGCAGCACTCCACTGTGGCGCAGGGGCGATTTCATCTGCAGGCTAAGCACCAACTCTGCATTTCAAAATTTTTGTGCCAAAACAAACTTGCGACTCTATTTTTCCATAATCACTGTCAAGTACCCTCACAGGATGTAACGAAGCCAGGGAGACAACAGGTATCTAAAGGACCCTTCCCATGCAGACTGAACCTTAGAACACATCAAGAATGCTACACTCATTTCTCTGAGTAGAATAAACCCCTCTTGACCTCACGTCTCCGTCCTTCGAGCATTTCACGACCACAGTCACTCTGCACGCGACAATCCCTACACACTCTAAGTAAAAGATCCGCGTGGCCAAAGCTGCCCTTACTGGGGATTAGCCCTTCCCTGAACCGCACAGCACAGGAGACGCCAGCGAGGGGAGCTGCAGCTGCTGCTGTTTCACTGGCCAGGGCGGCTCTGTGTCGGCTGACAGGCGCCGAGGAAGGCGAGCAGGAACTGGAGCTGAGTTGTGAACATTTTTTTTTCTAGAAATAGCAAGAAGGGGCTGTTTCAAAGGATATGAGTACAAATACACTGAAACCTTACGCAGAGCATGAACTGGGACAGCCCCATTCAGTTCTTGCTAAAGGCATACACAGCTTTAGGAATCATTCCTCCAAAACTGAACGCTCTCAGGAGTTCTGACACAGTGCTAGCTGCTCTCGTACGGCTCCCTTCCCTGGCCAGCAACAAATGCCATGCATCTGCTAACTGCAAAGTGATGTCTTTTTCAAAAGAATGCCCATTGTCTTGATTCCACGCCTCTTCTGGCAGAAGTACTCACGTTGCAGCCCTTGTCCGTCAGGTAGCTGATCCCTTCTTCTGGGCCAATTGCCAGCTCCACTGAAATAATCCAGCTTGACTTTTGAAGGGGAGATGGTGAGGACAGCAGCGCCGGAAGGAAGAGAGATTTTAGATAAAGAAGCACGGGTACACTAAAGAACCCAAGGGCGACTGGCCTGGCTTGCTACTGATCTACCTAAACGCGTGAAAGACCACACTGGTCACTCCCCGACCCAGGAGGCTGAGCCTAGACAGACACACTGCGCTCTCTCCACTGAGAACCCAGTGGCTCCTTCGGGAAGGCTACTGGAGCAGGTGAGCTACAAACTGCGGGGCTGGAACACAAACGCCTGCCTCCGAACGCAGGCCCGCTGTTGGGAAGGAGATCTTACTCTCACACTGAGCCAGCTCCTCCTGCATCCCCCCACCTGAAATGACAATAACACCCTGATGCTGGGAACAAGAAGTCCCAACTTGGCTTTCCTTCCGTGAGAAACGTGCATGTTCCTGTGAAGACGGTTTGCAGATGGAGCCGCCCGGTGCCCCCCGCTGCCATACGCACCCCGAGCGCGCACTTGAAGCACTCCTTATCGAATCTGTACACTGGAGAGAGGATCTCGAAGAATTTGAGAATACTTTCTTCTCGGTTAAGGTTGGCAAACTGTCTAAACGTCTGCTGGATCAGCTTTCTGAGTGTTTTGGCCTGCACGAGAAAGGACGAGACTCTTCAGAGAAACAGGGCACAGACGGCCGCAGTAGTGGGGTTTCCTTCCTAACCCCAGAGAATACACCGACTGCCATCCACAGGGAACAGCACGCTTAGCAGAGCTTTACTCATCTGTCATGCCTGTAAGATGCACAGAACTTGCAGTCTGCCATCTCGGCCAGTGTTAAGCAGGCAGTTCACTGGTAGTTATTTCCTGAGCAGAAATTTGTACGACACTCCTGTGTCTATCAGAACCTGTGGGGAGGGCACTGGACAACAGCTACCACCCACATCTCAGCCAGAACCGCACATCCATTCCACAGAGGGGGAAGCTGACACACACGGGCACATTCATTCCAGGAGAGGGGGAAGCTGACACACACGGGCACATCCATTCCACAGAGGGGGAAACTGACACACACGGGCACATCCATTCCACAGAGGGGGAAACTGACACACACGGGCACATCCATTCCACAGAGGGGGAAGCTGACACACACGGGCACATCCATTCCACAGAGGGGGAAGCTGACACACACAGGCACATTCATTCCACAGAGGGGGAAGCTGACACACACGGGCACATCCATTCCACAGAGGGGGAAGCTGACACACACGGGCACATCCATTCCAGGAGAGGGGGAAGCTGACACACACGGGCACATCCATTCCACAGAGGGGGAAGCTGACACACACGGGCACATCCATTCCACAGAGGGGGAAACTGACACACACGGGCACATCCATTCCACAGAGGGGAAAACTGACGCACACGGGCACATTCATTCCACAGAGGGGGAAACTGACACACACGGGCACATTCATTCCAGGAGAGGGGGAAGCTGACACACACGGGCACATCCATTCCACAGAGGGGGAAGCTGACACACACGGGCACATCCATTCCACAGAGGGGGAAACTGACACACACGGGCACATTCATTCCACAGAGGGGGAAACTGACACACACGGGCACATCCATTCCACAGAGGGGGAAACTGACACACACGGGCACATCCATTCCACAGAGGGGGAAGCTGACACACACGGGCACATTCATTCCACAGAGGGGGAAACTGACACACACGGGCACATCCATTCCACAGAGGGGGAAGCTGACACACACGGGCACATCCATTCCACAGAGGGGGAAGCTGACACACACGGGCACATCCATTCCACAGAGGGGAAGCTGACACACACGGGCACATCCATTCCACAGAGGGGGAAACTGACACACACGGGCACATCCATTCCACAGAGGGGGAAACTGACACACACGGGCACATCCATTCCACAGAGGGGGAAGCTGACACACACGGGCACATCCATTCCAGGAGAGGGGGAACTGACACACACGGGCACATCCATTCCACAGAGGGGGAAGCTGACACACACGGGCACATCCATTCCACAGAGGGGGAAACTGACACACACGGGCACATCCATCCACAGAGGGGGAAACTGACACACACGGGCACATCCATTCCACAGAGGGGGAAGCTGACACACACGGGCACATCCATTCCAGGAGAGGGGGAAACTGACACACACGGGCACATCCATTCCACAGAGGGGGAAGCTGAACACACGGGCACATCCATTCCACAGAGGGGGAAGCTGACACACACGGGCACATTCATTCCACAGAGGGGGGAAACTGACACACACGGGCACATCCACTTCACAGAGGGGGAAGCTGACACACACGGGCACATCCATTCCACAGAGGGGGAAGCTGACACACACGGGCACATCCATTCCACAGAGGGGGAAGCTGACACACACGGGCACATCCATTCCAGGAGAGGGGGAAACTGACACACGGGCACATCCATTCCAGGAGAGGGGGAAACTGACGCACACGGGCACATTCATTCCACAGAGGGGGAAACTGACACACACGGGCACATCCATTCCACAGAGGGGGAAACTGACACACACGGGCACATTCATTCCACAGAGGGGGAAGCTGACACACACGGGCACATCCATTCCACAGAGGGGGAAACTGACACACACGGGCACATCCATTCCAGGAGAGGGGGAAACTGACGCACACGGGCACATTCATCCACAGAGGGGGAAACTGACACACACGGGCACATCCATTCCACAGGGGGAAACTGACACACACGGGCACATCCATTCCACAGAGGGGGAAACTGACACACACGGGCACATTCATTCCACAGAGGGGGAAACTGACACACACTGGCACATCCATTCCACAGAGGGGGAAACTGACACACACGGGCACATCCATTCCACAGAGGGGGAAGCTGACACACACGGGCACATCCATTCCACAGAGGGGGAAACTGACACACACGGCACATCCATTCCAGGAGAGGGGGAAACTGACACACACGGGCACATCCATTCCACAGAGGGGAAGCTGACACACACGGGGCACATCCATTCCAGGAGAGGGGGAAACTGACACACACGGGCACATTCATTCCACAGAGGGGGAAACTGACACACACGGGCACATTCATTCCACAGAGGGGGAAGCTGACACACACGGGCACATCCATTCCACAGAGGGGGAAGCTGACACACACGGGCACATCCATTCCAGGAGAGGGGGAAACTGACACACACGGGCACATTCATTCCACAGAGGGGGAAACTAACACACACGGGCACATCCATTCCACAGAGGGGGAAACTGACACACACGGGCACATTCATTCCACAGAGGGGGAAACTGACACGCCTTTCTGAAAGCAACACAAATCACAACACATAGAAAATCACGACCCTCAGTGCAAAATAAAACTGCAGGCCATTACTCTTCAGGAATTATTAAGGCTATTCACGCAGACTCAGCAGCAAGGAGCCTGACCACAGAATCATTCACAGTCACCCTTCAGCAACACCTGAACTCTGGCGTACCCATCTACACAGTCAACAGTGCATGCAGTCCTGAAATTCGGTTCTGTACAACTAATTTACGGAGTAAATCAGTATCACGGTGTTGCGTGAAAAAAGCTGACGGTGCAGAATGGACGCACCACACAGAAGGAGGAGGCAAGACACAGAGGCACACGCGGGCGTGGTCAGCTCACAGCAAAGCACACGGGATGGACAGCCCAGCTGTGCTTTCCCCGTGTGATTGACGACCGATGGTGTTCAGGTCGCTTTCCGCGGGGTTTTCAGTGAATTCCCAAAGCCCTGTGCAGGCAGAGGGAAGTACTTCTCAGGCAGCAGGACCCCAGTGCAGCTTCGGGAAGCAGCCTGAGGATCATGCGATGGGGTCCAGTGCGGGGGCCAGAGATGCAGGCCGCCACGGCTCTCCTCCTGCCGTGCAGAGCAGCGGCGGCCTCTGACGCGGTTTTACCAGGGGTGCTCTGGCTGCTGAATTAACCCCAACACGAGCACACAAACAGAAAACTGAGAAGCAGTCGGATTCCGGATTTATCGTGAGAAGAGAGCCAAGGAGGACAGCTCTCGGGACGGAGACGAGAGAGGCTGTGGGAGGAGCAGGACGGGTGAAGGGTGGGCTGACACAGGAGAACATCAGGACTCCAAGCAGAGCGCCACACAGGCTGTGGTGCTCAAGAGGGAAGTCCTGACTGGCTCCTCACAGAAAGGAAGCAGAGCCGGAGGCGGGGCGATGGAGTGGGGCCCGGCCAGGGGCATCACGCTGGACTGCGGCTGCCACGCAAGCACAAGGAGGCCAGGAGTGCGGGGCATACGCATTCGGTGGGTGGTGGAGGTGGCAGCCTGTCTGCGGCGGCTGCGAAGCCCCGTGGATCAACGCATGACTGCGTCAGGGACCTCATTGAGAATAGCAGGACAAAGAGGAGATGCAGTGGGAGAGTGGGACACCTGCCACCAGGGAGGGACAGAGCCACTGGAAATGGAAGAGCAGAGGGAGGGGCTCGAGCAGGGGTGAGGTGAGGACACAATGGTCGGCCGACTTCGCTGAGCCTAGAGAGGCAGACTCTGAGGATTACGAATGTTCAGTTTTCTCCCAGGTAGCTTTGCAATCGGGGGAGGGGGGGCAGGCTACCAGGAGAGTGGAGCAGTGCGGCCCGCCACGCTGCAAGCGCTGTGGCCCAGGTTACGCTGCTGCTATGCCAGCTTGAGTCTGGCTCTCTGCTCCTGAACCAGCTCCCTACTGAGGCACCTGGGAACGTGGTGGACAACGGTCCACGTGCTTGGACCCCTGCTGCCCATACAGGAGATCCGGATGGAGTTCCAGGCTCCGGGCTTCAGCCTGGCCCAACCATGATTCTTATGGCATTGGGGGAATAAACCAGAGATGGAAGATCTTTCTCCTCCTCTCACGCTCTCTCTCCTCTTCTCTCCCTCTGCCCTCTTGTTCTATCACTCTGCCTTTCTTTCCTTCTAAGATTTATTTGTGTATTTGAGAAGCAGAGTTACACACAGGGACAGCAGAGGGAGGGAGGGACAGAAGAGAGGTCTTCCATCTCCTGGTTCACTCCTCAAATGGCCACAATGTCTGGAGCTGGGCCAACATGCAGCCAGGAGCCAGGAGCTTCTTCAGCGTTTCTGAGACTGTCCGGTGGCGCTAGGGGTCTTCAGCGTTTCTGAGACTGTCCGGTGGCGCTAGGGGTCTTCAGCGTTTCTGAGACTGTCCGGTGGCGCTAGGGGTCTTCAGCGTTTCTGAGACTGTCCGGTGGCGCTAGGGGTTTTCAGCGTTTCTGAGACTGTCCGGTGGCGCTAGGGGTCTGTGGGCCCTCACAAGCAGGCTGCCAGCTGTGCTGAAAGCTTGTCTCCAGACCAGCCAGCGTCTCCCCCACTAATAGCTTCTTGTGCTGCATGTGTGACCTATGGCTGCAAATCATGCCTTCAAGTTAGTTGCAATCTTCCACCCAGAGCGAGCAAAGGAGGGTGGTGAGCCCCTAAGGCAACAGGCTGTCTCCAAGAGGCCCCCCTCTCCATCTCCATGAGCCCCGAGCCAATCGACATAATCGGCTGTGAAACCCCCATCCAAAGGGCACTCCCAATAGAATGGCCCAGTG